CAACTACATTCATATCGATTGAAAGCTGTATTGTTTTTAGGTATAGTACAACCGGATTCATTCCATTTCGAACTCGTTGTATCATAAAATGAACAATAATATTGGGCGACACGATTTGGATCATATTCGTTTAAAACTTGGAAATATAGAGAAATATTCGTTGGAGTTGATGCAGAATCATCTCTGTGCAGTGCCACGACAATCACTGATGATGCAAGGAATCTATCACTTGATTTATCTAAATCTTTATAGGTAGTAGGTTTATCAATGATGAGCATATTGAGAGACATAACACCAGTTATAGATTGATTACTGATAATAGCTGCTGCTGATGAAAATGAATTGGTTATATTATCAGTATTTGCAGTGTTGATAACTTGGCCACCAATACCACGTGTGAATGAAGCACCTAAAACCATTACATTGCCTCTTTGATTTAGTTGTTGTGCAACAAGAATTGAATCAGTAGTATTTATTATCAAATTAATATTTGTAATATTGGCAAGATAAGTATCAATTTCGTTCGCCGTTAATTTATAAGTCTGATTTAATGTCGAATTTGAGTTTGAAATTAAACTTATATATTGTGAAAGAGTCTTAGCAACTACAGTTGAGTTTGTGGGATTATTGCGCAATGTATTAACTGCAGTTATCTAAACAAAAAATAGGTAATTATACAAAATGTATGTACTTCGTGTCATACTATGGCTTGATCTATTGTTACACAATTACCATTGTCCAATATATGAGTTCCATTTCTACAAGTGCTTGGATCTTGAGTAGTGGTAGTGCTTGTGATGGTTGAAGTAGCGGTTGTTGTTATCGTAGCTGAAGTAGAAAAGTGAAATCTGGATATTGATTTTTGTGTAGCTATTGTGGAGACATATCGTTGACCTGTCGGTTTTATTATCTGAACTAATTGTCAAAATGGGCATGGGTGTGGAGTGCGAGTGTGGGTGTGGGTACGGAGGTGGTTGTGGGCATTTATGAAAAGACAACCCATATCCTTTTTGGTGTATACCTATGGCGGAACCCAAAATTCTAGAACGGTCGTTACTCGGCTCCAGAGACGCATGGACACAAATCCTTTTGAAATTTTTCTAGTGTTAATGAGTTCTCGTGGTCCGGGTCTGAGCTCATGTAGTGGGTATCAATTCGGATAGTTTTCTTGGCAGTTGATTGTTTCATTTGCTAATAATTATTATTCAAAATTCTGTTAAAATTGGAATATTTCTCTGTATCTTCAATAACGGTTCGGATATCGCTTCTAATATATAAAGACATCAACTATCAAATGACAAAGTTGATTAGCTGAACTTGAAGAAAGTATAAATATAAACGGATTCATAACATCTATGTTTTATTTATGAAACTTTTTTTCTGATATTATGATGAAGACGACTTTACAATATATCCTTTATTTTAGGGTGACAATGCTTTTGATCTACAAATTAATGTAGATACTTTTCATCCCCAACATTTTCTGGCATTTATTTCGCATTATCTTCCTCTGTCAAAAGGTGTGGTTGCGACATCTTATCCGCATCTACACCTACACCCACGCTCTTAATTAGCTTCTTCATACACTGATTGCTTTGATCTGTTTGACTTTGGAAAACAGTACTGAAAGTGGATGAGGCACTGTATGCGTTATGTAGAAGATTCAATAAGAGAAAATAAAAAGTCATAACTTGAAAAAAATTGATGATCAAAAATGCTTTTTCCTTTTATTTTAATTCAGAACATCGATAATTAATAATAATGTCTACGACATATTTTCAAGGAGTATCAACAAAAGTACAATTGATATATACATTTGAAACTTTATCAAGATTCAAATCTCTTTAAATCAATCATCGTAAGAAATACACTATATGGGTGTAAATGTGGTTGTTCTCTTCGCATGTGCCCATACCCAGCATGCACAACTACACTCATACCCACATCTACACCCACAACCTAATAAGCATTAAACAAGACATCGAATCATGCAACTCTGCTAAGTTGTAAAGCTAATTTTCACCTTCATTTTGACGCCAAGCCCAGCTTTCTAGAGTTTAAAATGACGGCGAAATCTGAAATGCACGCGAACGTCAAAATCAAAAAGCTTATTAGGATAAAAACGCAAAACAAGCTTTAGTACTGTAATTCGATATTTATTCTTCCGTAAACTAGTATAAACAGAAGTTTCTAGTAATCTGTCATAGATTATCGAGTAGAACGATTGACATGAACACATACAACATGTTCACCATTACTAAAAGTCATTAGAGAAGTTTGAAAGACTTTAAAAAACAAACATTTTAGGAAGAAAACATGATTATTTTTCTGTGTGAGGGTTTAGAAAACACTATATAACATTTTTACATCTCATCATGAAACCAATAAATTATAGTGCATTTGAGAGTAGACACCTTGCTCTATCTAACGAGCTATAAATCACAAAAATTGGTGAATTTGACCAAAATTGACTTTTTTCTTCGAGGACGAGGGAAGAATTAAATATATGAAAAAAGCATGCATAGATTCTCCTGTAAGATGTACACTTCTGGACAAAAATTTTCCCCTTCTTTATCTTTTTATGCTGTCGAAATTTGCATTAAAGTTTTTACTGAGTAGAAATATGGGATGAAAGTTTTATTTCATTTTGGTGTACAGATCACACTAATAAAACTCTCGTGTCATATCGTTATTCACTACCCAAGCAGACAAACTTTTGAGAAAACGCGTTTAAACGCACAGAAATCGGCCTAAAATTGGCAACAAGACTTTTGCCGGAGGGTGTAAAGTCAGTTGTTTTATATTTTTATAATTTTTCTGTTCATAAAAATATACCGAGTTGCACGATCTTTCTAAGTGTCGTTGTTGACAGATAATACCAGTGGAAATGAATAGTTTTCGTTGTATACGACTTAATAAAGGTTGCAACATATATTATCAATATCGAGAAACTTAGGTTCTAAACAGAATTTCAAAAAATATCAAAAGAAATGACTCCGAAACTCATTTTAATACATTTCAGGACCTATTTTGGAAGAACTAGCGGGAAACCATGTATACTGGACGATTGAATTTTCCGTTCATGTATGACCTGAAGTCTTCAACCTTTCATCCGGTAAGAACCATACAAACACTCGACATCATGTATATAGATAGCGCTACGACGTGAAATCCTTACATCACTAATAGCTTTGTAGCCCGTCTAGCCTTCCGACCTTATACCGTTTGTAGCTCCTGTACCCTTACCCTCTTATAACCTTATTCCCTTATAACCTTATCCTCTTGACCGTGATTGCCTTATGACTTTATCCCCTTATAGCTTTACCTTGTTATAGCCTTATCCCATTATGATCTCACGACCTTTAGCCTTTGACCCACCACAGATACACATACATACATATACACTGAGCATTATATATGTAGAGATTTCAAACTCTGCATAATATTTATAAAAATTTTCTATGATATACTAGAGAGCCATTGCTGTAATTTACGAAATACTACAAAACTGATCAGAAGTTTTTTTTATCGTTTCATCTTTTTTATGACAAGCTTCATTGCATTAGTGAACTGATTTACTTGTCACAACTAGACTAGCATCAAGCCTAAATATTTGAATTTGATGAATTTGCTGTAATATTTGTTGACTCAGGTCTGGACACTTTCTTCATCGTGATCTATATATTTTCAAAATATTATCTGATATATCAATTAAATAATAAAGAAAGAAACTGTATCTTCTATATAAGCATTACCTAGCTAAAATTGTTAATTAAGCTTGAGTGTTATTTATGACTAATGTCAGCTAATCAGATCATAAATGGCTGGTACTGTCGAAAAAAAAGAAGAAATTGTGGAATCTATTTTCATTACAGATTACACGGCTTTTGTAAAAATTTTAGATTATTAAGTAGGTTGTAATTTATTCCTTCTTTATGCAAAACTCTAGTTCTTCTGAGTTGTATGCACTGCCCACTTAATAATTTTTTTTTTTATAAATTACTATCAAAAGAATTTTTCCAAGTAATAAACAACTGAAAGACATATTTTTTCTAAAGATTTTTGACATATACATATATTTGTGCTCTACTATAACTAAACAGTGAACTTTTTCTTAAAGTTCTTAAGATTTTACATTTAGATAATTCGTACATTACGATGAATATCGAATGAAAACTGTAAAATGAGGAAATAATGGGCAACCGTCTCGTTTTTTGTATACACAAATTCAAAAGTTAGAAACAATGTATTGATGATAACCTACTTCAGGCCCTTGATAAATAACTAGTTCATGGCAGATTTATATAATACATAATTAATGACTATATCAACTACATGAAAAAAATTGCTGTCTCATTTTTGCTAAAAGACATTACAACGAAACAACAACTTTTTATTGCGATAATTAGCAGTTTTCGAAAGCCGAAAACTTCATTTTCCAGAAATCTTTCGAGTATGTGAGGGTAGGGGTAAACATAAATAATCACTACGAAGTGTCAGTTATATGTACAGAACATATTAAGTTAATAGCAATAATCATATAAAAGAATTGCTTCTGATCACCCTTTTCTCCATACTGTGCCATGAGTCCATCAGATTTTAACAAGCATTTTCCAGTCGGCCTCTTAAGCCGTCGTCCGTGCCTCAGCAATCCTGGCGACCTCGGAACACTCCTTGGCTTATTGGAAGTATATTTGTTATCCTAAAATAACTTCTCACGATTCAGCAAGAGGTAAATTGAAAGATTTCAAACGATAAGCTGTTTCAGACTATTCAATTATGGATGTAGATCTGGCTTCGAGTCTGCATGTTGATTAGCAGATGAACCATAGCGACATCTACATCCATACTCACATTCAACTATACCATCAAATTTTAATTAGGATGAATGATATAATAATCTTCTACCGCATCAGTAGAACCATTATGCGACATGCCCTCAAAAACTATGAGAGTTACATATTCGGATAAATATAAAAATAAAGTTTTCTCAGAGTATATTTAATGAATAATTTTGCTGGAGTATTATATAATTATTGTGGATGTATTTCACTCAACAAAA